GCTAACAGCCTGGTAGGAAAGGAATGGTATGGGGGAGAGAGATGAAAAAGACTGAATGACAAAAGGGGAACTCTCAGACAAAAGTGAGAGTCAAGAGCCGGAAGAATGTCTAACAGGCGGCCAAAAGAAGGGCTGAATAGGCAGAATTCGCTCACACCGAAGACCCCAAGAGTATGGGGTTTGGGGTTTAGGCTAAACCCCTAAGGGCCCAGCATACCAAAGTACCAGAAGGATCCATGGCAGATCAGGCGCGCAGAGGATGAGTGTAGAGGTACAGAATGAGTGTAGAGGTACAGAAGGCTCAACTGCAGACTGATAACACCTGGCCCCATGATTGAAAGGAGATCAATAGGACGGGGGTTTACTACCACCTGAGCGCGGTTGTTATGTAGGTGACCAACTTAGGCTACTGAGCAATTTTTCTCCTTCGAGGGTGAGCCATACAGCTAGCAGTCACAATATTCAGATGTCCGCATAAACAAGTAAAGACTATGTTTAGGGACGCTGGACCCGGTTTCCAGCAGGTGCTGCTCCCCACCAATAGCTGGAGCCTCCCCGTGAGTGGTAGTGGTGTCTGCTCTTATCAGCGCCCCTATCACCACCACGTGCTGTTTCAAAAAAAAAAAAAAAAAAAATCCTCTTTACCCTCAGCGGCGCAGAGATCCATGCTGGATTCTTGGGCCTCTGAGTTCCAGGGGATTCTTTTCTCAGACAATAATCAGTTAGTCTTTTCCCGCCACCTGTGGGATGAGAAGGAGGTCGCATCCTCCCTCAGGATCCAGAAGCCCTTTGCTTGTGATGGGCCTGATGGCTATGTTCTTGCTTTCTTTATCAAGCTCGATGTACGGGACGCTGGACCCGTTTTCAAGCAGGTGCAGGTGCAGCTCCTCACGAATGGAACGGAGTAATCATTGACAAAGGGGAGGATCCTCAGACAGGGAGATGCAGCCTCTTATCACTTCCTGGCTGGGGACCGACCGACAAGATTTTTCAGGCAGAAAAAAAAAAAAAGGTCCCCCTCCCACCCGAAACGGACTTCGGGACATCCGTTAAAATTGGAAAGATACAGAGAAGATTAGCATGGCGCCTGCGCTTTCAAGGATGACATAGCATGGCCCTTGTGACATGGTTTTCTGCTGCCCCTTGTTGGCGATGAGGTCTGGGATGCAGCATCCGTTTGTATTTGATATTTATGTAAATATGACGCTGGACCCGTTTTCCAGCACGTGCTGCTCCCCATGACTGGATGGAGGAATGAATTGATCATTAAAAAAAAAAAAAAAAAAAAAAAAAGCCATGAAGAAGAGAAAGGGGCAATTACAAGGGCCTGACTCCACGACTCTTGACATGGACAAAAGACAAAAATCATGGTGGTGTATCTTTGCATGTTCTACCCAAATACTCACACTCTCTTTTTACACACGTCGCGAGTAGTGGAGCGAGGCCCTGATGTGCATATAGAAAGGCGTCCGTGTTTCGAAAGTCTGTGTGGCGAAGGGGGGGGTGTTGTTTGGACGAGCAGCCTTTCAGGACTCGTCGCACTACTCACCATCCGCGAACATTTTGATTGCATGTGGACATCATGTTGTCCAGATGCATTCGAAATCTTGGCGGATGGCGAGTAGTGCAACTAGGGCCTTCGAATGAAGTCTGACACCTTTGGGAAAATTCCTTCATGGGGGACCGCGCGAAATAGTGCATTAACGCTGGGGCGATACTGGCGGTGGCGGCGCCCGGTCGTTGGTTCACGATAAAGTGGAGTGCAGCATCTAACCCTAGAAGTCTATCCCTGCCGGGCACCATAGCTGTGTGAGAGCGATGGCGGAAAGTGTTCAAGCGTATCCTAGCTCTTGAGTGGGCTAGGGAGCGCCTCTGTGCTCTTACGTTTGGGCATCCCGGCAGCCCCGTACCCAACCACTCCAACCGTTTTTACCATTATGATATCTGAACGACCATTTCGTCAAAATGGGCATTTTTTATTTTTTGAACGAAATTGAAACTGAGTTTTTTGGCCGAGAACTCGTCAAAATTTGCTGTTCCTGAGGGTCCGGACCATTTCGTCAAAATGGGCATTTTTTATTTTTTGAACGAAATTGAAACTGAGTTTTTTGGCCGAGAACTCGTCAAAATTTGCTGTTCCTGAGGGTCCAGCGTTTTACAAACGCCGAACCCTCAGGAACAACAAATTTTCACGAGTTTTCGGCCAAAAAACTCGGTTTCAATTTCCTTCAAAAAATAAAAAATTCCCATTTTGACGAAATGGCAGTTTCTGATTCAACATATAACCATATCAACTTATCTACATTTCAAACACTAGAGGATCTGTATTCGGCCGTGCTTTGGGCTGAATACATCCTACATCATATCTGGCCAAATTAACGAAAAAGCACCTGGCCTTATCTTCTGTATGCCTCAAGATGAAAGCCGTATTCAAAGGAGAAAGTTTTTTCATGCTCTTATGTGCGATATTCTTGTTCTCTGTACTTGGCCCTATTCAGGCGATAGATTCATTGATTACAAGCACGCTGAAAGACCATTTCCTTGTGCTCTTACTTCGCCCTATTCGTGGGATCGATAGTGGGATCGATTGTTTGATTCCTTGCACACTGAATGGGATCTCCTTTGGCTTCTTCCTGCATGTAGTGCATCATAGCTGAGTAAGGATTGCCGTTAATTTTTCCTTGAGGATTGTGTTATTTGTCGGACGTAATCTGTGTCATGTCCCTGGCTCTAGATGTAGATTAGTGCATCAAGTGCGTCTGGCCAGAGCGATAGGCCAGATTCATCGAGTGAGACTAGAATCATGTGCTTTGCTGGGAGAGACAGAGGTGACAGGTTCATGTAGTTAATTGTAGTCTCTTGAAAAATGTTTTCTACTTTTGCTAGACTAAGTAGGGTGTTCTCTTCTGTGCTGTTTTTCTATATCGGCTTAGGCACACGTAACCACACGTCACCAGTTTTCTTTGCCAGTATAGGTTGCGCACAAGACCAATACAGACTGGCTTCAGTGCTCTTTACACTGCTTTAACACTCTCTGCGTCCCTCTGTTCCTTCATCATGCTGCTTCTACACGTGGAAAGTCAGCGGACGAAATACATCGAGTTTGGCCTGATAGAAAGAATGAGGGACACAGATTACTGTGCAGACAATGACTAAGGTAGGAAGCATGTATGTGGTTTGTCAATGAACATATGCCGCCGCCGCAGCTTCAAGGATTCTTGGTCATTGAGATCATGGCTTCTACAGAGTGACTCCGAGGAGCAACTTTAGTGTGGATCAGCCGCCATCAGCGTGAATCCGATGAGAGATCAGCAGCGGCGCTACCACGAGCAGTGAGACTGTAATGGGTGGCCGTGGGAACGCTACTGGTTTGGTGGCATGAGAGAACCCGTGAAGAGCAAACTTGAGTTGTACCCATTGTGAATTTGTGATCACTCCACTCACAAAGTTCCAAGGGTGCATGGCGGGAAGCCAGTCATGGCAAACGCAGGCTCTTTGCAGTCTGTTGGACAATACAGCAAGGAGTCAAGGACAAGGGTGAAGCTCTGAAGAGTTGATGGGATTGTCATTCGAGCCTTTTTTCGAGGGTTTAACTAGTTGCCGCATATTACTTCTTTTGTGTCTACGAATTTCTGAAGTGTAGGCTTAGTCTCTACTAATTTCTGAAGTGTAGGCTTAGGTAACCTAGGGATTGCATATAGGTGTTGTAGTCTTAGTGGGTTAAAAAGCGATAACCCGATAAGGTAGTATGGGTAGCGGCACTACGGAGGCCGTGTGAGTGCTACCGTCAGTGGTGGGAACGCTCCTTGTTTGTAGTTCGCATAAATACGGTAGAAAGCAAACTTGAACTGTATCCATAGTGATCTTGGTCCGTTGATTGATATTGTCACTGAAGATCCAAGGGTGTGTGGTGGGAAACCCGTCTAGGGCGGTTCAGGCTTCCTTGAGTTTACAAAGATCCGTACTTGGTCTCTTTTCTGTAAGATCTTGAAGCGAAGCTGGGTAAGGCTCCCAGAGAGATTAGCAGGACACCCGGAATAGGAATTCTTTGGAATTTCTTCATTCGGTCTTGGCTGTTTTGCAAAAAAAAAAAAAAAAAAAAGGTCTTGGCTGTTTTGCTTCTTTTATTTGGGTTTCCTAAATGCTTTACGCCAGTTGCTAACTTTTCTTTTTTGGAATTGCACTGTTGCAGACCATGGGACGCTGGACCCTGTTTCCAAGAGTCACAACGGGGTTGAGATGCTGAGGGATTCCGGGCCTCATTCAATTACTTTTATAATATAAGCTGCAACTTACCAAAAAAAAAAAATCTTTCACGCGAAAAGCTGTGTTGCGAGCCCTTCTTTGGGCATCGCCACACTGACACAACTCTCGAAATGTGCTAAATGAGAATGAACTTCCCCAAAGTTCCCAGTAGAAAATGACCAGATGCACCTCAGGCTGCCACATTTTTGTCTTTTTCTTATTTGGAGAGGGGTGTGGGCAGGCCCTTTGACTTTGCGAGATGAAAACCTGCCTAGTACGTAGTCTACGGCCGTTGTTTCGATTTCCTAACAACGGAAAACAAAAAAAAAACTACAACATTAATGCACTACACCACATCCTAATAAACGCGGCCTGTATTCGAGCAACATTCAGGACGAATGTGGACCTCAAGACCGCTGAGATACATTTAGACTCCCCGTAGTACAGAACTGTGTCCACGCACACACACACACAGAGACTCTCTCTCTCTCTCTCTCTCTCTCTCTCTCTCTCTCTCTCTCTCTCTCTCTCTCTCTCTCTCTCTCTCTCTCT